CTATATAGTCAAGCTTTTCTCTCTTGCAAGTTCAGGAAGCTATTGAGAATTGGCTTGAATTTGAATCTATTAATACGCGTTATTCTATTTGAAAAACTTCAACATTACAATATACACAGCCACTTATCATTCAAACGTTTTTTAGTGGCATTGACAGCATTATGAAGAAGTATCTTACTCAGCCTATTCATGACGCACATTATAAACAGATGTGCCAATCTGTGTGTTATTTCATGCGTCAAGTATCAATTGCAGAAGCTCCAACATTGGATGATAATTCATTTGAGCCAATCTTTGATGGAAAAGACTCTGCTGAAACTTTTGCCAAAATAGATGAAGATAGGGAACTGGACTTGCAATCGCTAATGGCAATGGTTAATATTAATGATATCATTGAGATATGGAAGATTTCTAGATATAATTATCCAAAGACCTACCAATTCGTGATTCTTCTTAGTACTGGTGAGCATTTATATACTTGTTTTATACTCATCACTCATGGTATTATGTGTCGGCATTTTTTTAAAGTATTTGTTGAATCATCCAAAGCACGTTTTCATCTAACATTGATACCTTGCCGTTGGTATAAAGATGAATATATTAGTTCAAGTGAGGGTTATTTTAATGAAAAGGTTATAGGCAATGGAAATTTTAATCATAGTAGCACCTTTGAATTTACCAGAAAGTATACTATAAATGATCTTTCAGAAGAATACTCCAAACAAATAACGTGAAAACAACTGAAATATGGCATTTTAATGGGTGAAGTAAAAAAAGCCATTCAGTTTGCAATTTGTGATGATGATGAAGAATTAATCAAACTTATAAAGGAGTATAATGAAAGGAAAAAAGCTCAATACATTTAGGCGGAATCAGTTAAGCAACAAAGAGCTTTAGCAAATCAATTAGCAGAAAATGACAATCAAGTTATTTGTAGGCTAAATGGAGTACTAATTGAATCTAATCAAGTTTTAGATCCATTAAAACATCAACCAAAGGGAAGATCACCTGGAAAACGTTTTAAATCATCCACTGAATTGAAAAGTAAAAGTAAAAGTGAAGCAACTGATGGGGGCCGCAAGTGTGGTTTATGTGGAGGAAATGGACATTATCATAGCACTTGTCCTTCAAAGTAGTTATTTTATGTACAATAATAAAGTGATTTTTAACTCTTGAAATTATTGTATTTGTAAGATAAATGTTCTGTACTGTTAGCATTATGACTTACACGAATATCTAGATTAAAGATTTTAGAATCACCACGCAAAGCATCATGCGAAACATCAAGAAACATCACATAATACAAATAAAATAACACAAACAAGAATGGCAAATAGCACGTATGACACAAATAACAAAATAAAAAATTAAAAGGCACAGTGCAGGAATTGAACCTGCGTCTTTAAGATAAAATAAAATTATTTGCTTTTACAATTAATGTTTTTATTTAATTTTATTTGTATATTATAATAATTATATATATCACGTGACAGGGTGAGGAATAATTAGTCTCACCCGGGATGAAGAATAAATTCACCCTTATTATAAAAATATATTAAATTATATTATACATAAAACAGTTTTATAAATTCCTTTAAAAAGTATTATATTTTAATATAAATTTATTATTTTTTTTTTATAAGTAATTATTATAATTAAAAATCCATGAAAATACTATGGAATGAATTTTGGCATTTCGTCTTTTAATTTTAAATGTCTAAACTATTTCGGTTTAGTCAAATGACTAAATATTTCGGTTTCGCCCAGGATCTCTAATTTACCCCTTAAAATTGAAATTACACAGTCACATATTTCCTAAAATCTGAAATCCGAAATCTGAAATATAATTCTGGCTGAAATTAACGTAATTTCACTTAAACATATAATTTCAGCTGAAAATCATAATTCAGCCAAAACGGAAATGCAGATCTTTCCTTTTTTGGTAATAGCCATTCCACGAAAATTGATTTTAGTGGGAACGACACTGGAATTTTGTGTAATATCACTTTCCTTTTTAGGATATTTGTTAATTTCTGCTAAAATTAAGTGCATAATTCTGGCCAAAATTACATATTTAATTTCGGAATTACAGTATTACATGGCATTAAGACCTAATTACAGTATTACAATCTAATTATGGCATTACAACTTAATTATAGCATTACAACTTTTGCTTTTTAATGTAGATAGGTTGCAACCTATTACATACGACACTATGTCTTAATATTACAGTTACGGCTAACATCTTTACTCGGTATAATGGTTGTCCATGGAGATGATAGGATATTAGCTCGAGGATGCCTCAAAAAGAGGTAAAGAGAGGCTTGGCTGTAAACACTAGCAAAGTAAAAGAATAAAACTGGCCTGGCCATAAAAATACTGTAAAGTAAAAGGATAAAACTACTACCATTCGATTCGTCTTAGTGAGATAATTTTAACAAGCTATGGTACATCTTTATTTGTCGATTATTAGATGCCAAGTTATTTAATATATTCTTTATATAACTGTGATTATAAACGGTTTTTTTTAATATAAGATTTTTGAGGATAGGTGTGATAGTGACTATTGATAAATTATAGTAGAATGTGATTATAATGGATGAGGAAGTTGACTGTAATAAAATTATAGTAAAATTTAGATAATTCTCCTTTTTTTATTTTTAAAATAATTCTTAAATAACACTTATTGAAAATTTAATTATATAAAACTAGCCGTTAACCCGTTACTTTGTAACGGTATACATACATATAAAAAAAGTGTGACCTGCATGTAACAATTGATTCTGGTCGGAATTATGTGATCAGAGCAGAAATATCCTTTTATGAAGTATTTGTGAAACCAAAATTCCCCTATTTTTGTGGGAAGCAAAATTTCCTTTTTTGAAAGTTAGTATAACGTCACGTGATAAAGTGCCCAATGGAAGCGATATTACGCAATTCAAATTTATTTATACAGAGTAGTCTAAACATTACAGTTACACACAAAAACAATTATTATATAGTATAGATATAGATATAGATATAGATATAGATTATAAAAATTAAGAATTATTATATTATTTATACATTGGTTAATTAAAAAGTAAATATTAGTATAGTACTAGGGGATATACATGTTTTTCCTATTATGCAATCAGATTTTCTTTCTATTACATAATTATAGATTGTATATAAATTAAACTTTTTTTATTAAAATAATGATTTTTTTTCAGATTTTTTCATGATTTTTAAATTTTTTACAAGCGATTTTAACCAACTTTCAAAGGCAAATTATTATAAAACTTTTATATTTTATGTTAATTAGTCATCTATTACAGTCAAACCTTGATATAGCGAATTCTTGATATAATAAATTTTTCAGACAACTATAATAAATTTTCTTCGCTATAACGAATTAACAGTCTTAAAGTAAAGTTGAAGTCTGGACTCTAGAATTCGTTATAACAAGGTTAACTGTATATCTAAATGGATGTTATTCCTGATTTTTACTACTATATATAATAAAAATGATAATGAAAATGATACAAATGAAGTTAACAATAATGATAAATCTGATAGTGATAGTCCATTAAAAGATATATACTGTAAAGTCCCGATTATAAGCACCCTCTGAATATAAGTACCCCAGATTTTTATATTACCTGAAAGCAAGCATCCTTGACCAACACCCCCTGAATATAAGTACCCCAGATTTTTATATTACCTGAAAGTAAGCATCCTTGACCAACACTATGATAAGTTTGGCCAATACTACAATATACCAAATATATAAATTTACCCAAATATAAGCACCCCTATAACAAAAAAAGGTTGCTTATATTTGGAACTTTACGGTATATACTAGACAAATATTTATAACATTTAAAATTCTTGAAATAAATTTGAATTTGAAATAAAAACAGTAATATGTGAAAAAGCAAATGGTATCTGGGTCAGGAAATACATAAATATCATTATAGAGATTAGGGCTCTAATCGGTTCAGTTCGGTACGGTTTTTGCTAAAACTGAAACTGAACTGAATTGATTGGTATCAATATTGTTAATTACTGAAACCGATCAGTTTCATCAATACCAAAACTGACCGGTAAATACTGAAAACTGAACTGATTTACCGATTCATTATCAGTTCAGTTTTTAACGTTTTTGCAACATTTTTTATTAAAAAAAATGTGTGAAAACGTTTTTTTAATTAAATTAACTAATAAAAATGTTTCGCAACGTTTTTATTAAATTATTGAAAAAAAACGTTGCAAAACGTTTTTTTAATTAAATTAACTAATAAAAAACGTTTCGCATCGTTTTCTATTAAGTTATTGAAAAAAAACGTTGCAAAACATTTTTTTTTAATCAAATTAATAAATAAAAACATTTTGCAATGTTTTTATTAAATTATCAAAAAAAAAATGTTGTGAAACATTTTTTTTAATTAATTAACTAATAAAAAACGTTTCGCAACGTTTTCTATTAAGTTATTGAAAAAAAACGTTGCAAAATGTTTTTTTTTAAAATAAATTAACAAATAAAAACGTTTTGCAACGTTTCGCAACGTTTTTATTAAATTATCAAAAAAAATGTTGTGAAACGTTTTTTTTTTTAATTAATTAGGCCGCTCCAACTTACAGTTATGTTTAACAAAAATTTTTATTGAAAAAAGACATGGGGGGNAAACGTTTTGCAACGTTTCGCAACGTTTTTATTAAATTATCAAAAAAAATGTTGTGAAACGTTTTTTTTTTTAATTAATTAGGCCGCTCCAACTTACAGTTATGTTTAACAAAAATTTTTATTGAAAAAAGACATGGGGGGAGGGTAGGGAGTCAAAAAAAAATTACAAATTTTTTTAGACAATGATCAAGTACAAAAAATGATGGGGAATTATTATTTATTAGTACTAATTATAATGTTTATTACAGAATTTTTGGAATAGGAGGGGGTAATGATAGATTATTTATTTATATATTGTAAAAATTTTTACTTGAAATTATATACGTCTCTTTTTTCACATTTGTATTTTGCCTTTTGTAAAAAAATTCTTTCCTCTTTCTTGACAAACTTCACATAAAGGATATACTGTTTGAAATTGAGATAAAATTTCTTGTAATAGTTCAACAAGATTATCTTCTTCACCACAATAATAACATATCTGTGAATGTTCAATCTTACAAGAATAATACACCTGCTCAATTGGTAAATTACAAGTTAAATTCATCCTAACGAAAACCTTGTCATATAAAAAATGATTTTCTGGAACAATTGGTGAACCACATGTATATGCAAATGTTTCCATGGCTGTTTGCAATGCTTCATAATCAGAATCATCTAATACATATTGGCTAAACAGACAGCGTAATTTTGAGCAAGAAATGCAAAAAACAAAATCACGAACCCTTGCAGCAACCAAAATTCCACTTGGAGCAAGTTCTTTGCATTCATGATGATTTTTTTTACTTGGAATATCTTTTTCAGTGGTATTTTGCCCATACAATGAATCAAAATCCTGATAATGATCGGGATCTAAATCAATAATTTGCGAATTAGAAAAAATTTTTAAATGAGAAATATAAAAAAATACTCACTACTTGAAATTTGTGGATCTGGTATATAATGTAATTGATTAAAAATTTCATGTGTTAATCGAACAGGATCACAAATTAAACAATCACTTTCTCCACATTTTTTAATCTTAAAAATAATATATTGTTAATATTATTAAATATTATAAATTAATAAAATTAAAATTTATACCTGAAATGAATATTCTTGGATTAAACAGTGTGATTTGATGAATTTTTGTAAATCAACACAAGTACGAAGTTTGTTTTGTGAGGTACCATTTTGAGTAACGGTATTATCAATTTTTTCACCTAAAATCTATATAAAGAATTTGACTATAAAATTTGAGTGAATATACTAAAGAAACTCAATTTTTTTTGCAAAATAGAGTTTATGACAAGTACTTACTTCAAATAAACCATTTATTTCTTCCAAAGCGGCTGGTTCAATGCATTTAAACTTTTGATTTTTCAATTTTAATCGTTCAGTTCTAGTTTCTAAAGTTTTTTGGGTATTTTTAATAGCCATTTTTAATTCTTCACTTAAAGTTTGATTAAATGATGATGCATTTCGAATATCTTCTATTGTTCCTAAACTTTTAAATATTATTTCAGAATCAAGACTCATATCACTTCTCTTTAATGCTACATTTTGTAATCCAAGATTTATAATTGACATCATGCGTTTTGCAAGGTTAGTTCATGAATGATATGGTGCTGTTCAAACTGCTGCTAGAAAATCAAAATTTCCTTTTAAAAATAAACAAATCATTGCTAGTTGAACAGAACCAAATGTGGTTCGGTGATCTGCACCACCATCAGTATAAATAATTAGCATTTCTGGCAATGTGACGTACTTTTCATGTAAGCATTTCAGCCATTTACTAGAATGCCTAAGTGCTGAACTAGGTTGAAATACTGAATCTTTATAAGAAACAAATACTTGTTCTTGATAAAAACTTCCACTAATATCTTTAGGAATTTCACAAAATAATGAAATTGATAGTGTTACTGAAAGTTTGGTAAAATCATGATCACATGATGTCAATTCTGTACCCAAGGATGCCAGCGTTGCTTTATTGCGAACTCCTGTTGATGTTTCAACTATTTCTCCAACTGGAACTTTATGTTTGTCATCCGCTGAAATAAAACAAGCAAATTTGCGAAATTTAATAGCAAAAAGCCGAGTATAACGAAACAATGCAGCACAATAATGAGAATCAGGATGAGATTTACGAAGTAGTCTACTCTGTACTTTGTAAGAAATTTCAAATCGCCCAGTATATTGCATAGAAGTTTTTGCATAGATAGTTTTAGGCTAAAATTGAAGTCTAATCCACTCTTCACTTGGAATTGAAATCTTGGAAAAAGTTTCTTCATCATGCTTAGTTTGTAAGCGTTCTATAATATTTTCGTGTAATTCTCTAATTGATATTGCAACTGGCATAAACATCATTGTAGTGTGCCGTCTTTCATGTACTGCTGGAATAATCTTATAGATATGTAATTTAATTAATAAATTTGTGCAGCATTTATGCATTTATTCAAATAATTATATACTCACTTTATTAAAATAATAATCAATTTCATCCCAAAATTCGTCAAATTTTGTTCCTTTAAATCCTCCATTTTTTTGTAAATCAAATATAATATTTGGGTCTTGAGTTTCATACATCAATCTTATACATTCTTGCATTTCCTGGGATATTAAATTTGGGCTATTTGACGCATCTCCAATGAGGTCTTGATATAATGTACATAGTATGGCAGGTGATAATCGTGTATATAACGAATACTACTAGTACAATAAAAATGTATTTTTAATTTAAATATAATTTATTTTTATTTTTGTCTCGAACTTTATTTGAATACAAACAAAAAAAAGTCTGAAATATACCTTATTAACTACATTTTTTCTTATTTGTTGGGTACTATATTTTGGCAATAATTCATGTACTTTAAGTAAAGCTTGTGATTCTTTAGTTTTATTAGAAAATTCAATAATATCTGGCCTTTTCCAAAGTCAGTTTAAAGTACCCATATAATTTCCACTATAATATCAATATAATGTAACGCTAAATGGAAGTTCCATATTCTCTAAAAATACTGGTTGAATAACATTACACAGAATGAGATCGTCAATGCAAGTTGGCTCAAATTCTTCCTTCTCATGCATTAATTTAATAATCTCATTATAATTTTCATTTGTTGTCAAAGTTTTGTCAATATCTAATACTTTGATATGATCAATTCCATTTCGTATGGGTACACTGCTATTATGAATGATGCGCATTCTTTTATTCACATTATCCAAATACTCTATAAATTTCCTTGACACTTCGCATAATTGAATGACTTCACTAATGAATTGTTCCCATTTTTTATCGCTTGCCCATGGCTGAACTAATGAATTTTCCATAGCTTCAACATGGCGTTGCAAAGTTTGTGCTTGAATTTCTGTTTTTTTATGGTGTGAATTGATATAGTATTGATTATAACTTGACTTTGCTTTGTATTCTGGCAAATCATCAACAAATTTTGGTAGATGACACGATCTTGAAGTAAATTTGCTGTGATGTGGATCAATATACCAGATAAGATTACTCAAACGGGATACAAACTTTGCCCCAGAAGTTGTATGTACTTCTCCAAACCACCCAAGTTTTCGGGTTCTTAAAATTTCAATAATATGATTATAAAGTAGGTTATTTCAAGTATTTAAACCTTGTGCCGATGGAAGATGTATACCTGTAGCATTGCTCATCAAAATATCAAGCGCATTTTTAGGATTTTTTGTTTGAGAATCATTAATATCATCATTTTCATCATTTCACGTAAATCTTATATGTATAGCCTTTAAGAAATCTAATATTTCTAAATCTTCATTAATACCCTTTGATACTATATGCTATTCATTTGATTTATCTCTTTGAAAATCAACTGATATATTCACGTTTGGTATATCATTGATTGAAAGAGTTATCTTCAAAAGATCAGATAATAGTCCAGGAGGTTCAATACTAGTTGCCGAAGACTTGACTATTTGTTTTCCATTTTGGTATACAGAAACTAACAAATATAATTTCATTTTAGTATAAGCTTTATCTCAAAGGAGAAGGTGTGCATTTTTTTTTTAAAAAAAAAATACCAAAAATGCAAGCGAAAAAAAAAAATTCTGCAAAGCAGAACCAGTAATATGATTTTATTTGTAGTACAACAGCAGATCGATATTTATTAGTTTATCGTTCCATTGAATTTTAAATGTTACACATATTTTTACTTAAATTTAGATTTTTTTCAGAGGAGGGATACATATACCCTTATAAAAATTTTGCTTTTTTGTACGTCACGGATATATATATAAATCATGAAAATTCTGAGGGGGGGATTTGTTAAACATAACTCTAGGTTGGAGCGGCCTTAACTAATAAAAAACGTTTCGCAACATTTTCTATTAAGTTATGAAAAAAAATGTTGCAAAACATTTTTTTAAAATAAATTAACAAATAAAAACATTTTGCAACGTTTTTATTAAATTATCAAAAAAAATGTTGCGAAACGTTTTTTTTTAAATAAATTAACTAATAAAAATGTTTTACAACGTTTTTATTAAATTGTTAAAAAAAAACATTTCACGACGTTTTTTATCAACATTACAAAACGTTCGGCAAATCAGTTTGGTAAATTTACTAAAATGATCAGTAAAATTTACCAAAACTGATACTGAAAATATCAGTTCAGTAAATCAGTTTGGTAAATCGCAAAACCGGTACCGAAACTGAAGTTACTGAAACCGATCGGTAAATTTACCGAAAGGTTCAGTTTGGTAAATCAGAATACCGAAACCGTTTTGATACTGAAACTGATCAGTTCAGTTTGGTAATTACCAAAACCAATCGGAGTTCTAATAGAGATAAATACTATGAACCTAAGAAAAATATAAATTCTATATATAATCGAAATTAAGAGTTAGTTTATATTGATTATGGATTTCTAGTAAATGTAATATATCATAAACATCTAAATCTAATATTTATTAACAAATTTATTAATGAATATAATCATATATTATATAATATATTTGCTTTTTAAGAATTTTTACCTATATTATGGATAATACTATTATAAAAAAGATATAGTTTTATGTTTAAGAATGTCATCTGAGTATTTCTGTCTTAAAAAAGATATTGCAAAACAAATATTCCAATCAAGATATTTATAATCAAGATCTCTATCATGCAATATATATAAATTTAAATCTAATAACTTTTAGGTTAAGAATAATACAGCAATATTTATCAAATATTTAAAGATGTTACATAAAAAGATTCTGAATGGTATTTTCAAGTAAACTTTGAAGAAATTGATAATAGATTATCCAAAGTTTTTTGGATATTACCAAAGTAAAAAAGAATATGATCTCGTTATCATAATGTTATTATAAGTGATAATACATGAAAACTAACAAATATTTAATAATACTATATGTAGAGATTCCAGGCAAAACTGAAATATTTAGTCATTTGACTAAACCGAAATAGTTTAGACATTTAAAATTAAAAGACGAAATGCCAAAATTCAATATTCCATAGTATTTCCATAGATTTTTTATAGATTTCCATAGATTTTTAATTATTAATTCGTGATCCGTTTCCAAACCAGTGAAATCTACTAATACATTTTGGGGAATTATTTTGCAAATTAATTTAGTGGGAAATTCAGATAAGAGCAATAGATATAGCACGCAGGAAATGTGAAATGAACTTACAAATTATTAGAGAAAAG